TATAATTTATTATAATTTAATAAAATAAATTTAAATTTTTACATTTTTATATAAAATACTTTAATATCTTTAATCCCGGAGCATAGCCCGGGCTAATATGCTAGTTCTGTTTAAGAAAAGTGTATTTATTTTATTCTTTTCAAAAACATCCTTATAATAACTACATATTTAATCATTCTTAAGAAAAATGATATCTAAGAAAAGCGTATAATAACAAATAATAATTCGGACTTTTTTAGAATATTCGATCATACTATTGTTGTGTATTTACGTCTCACAGGGAAAGTAAACAAACAACATTTTCATTCAAATTTGACTGCGATGCACACGTTTTTTTGACAACACATTGTTACTTCAGAAAATCTTAGACTTGATTTATTGAAAATTTTTCAGGAAGCTTAATTATTTTTATGATATATCATGCCGTTATTGTTAAAATGCTTAAAAATGCTATGCTTTTTGAAATGAGTCTTAGTTTTGCGGTTTGTAATGAAGGGTTTCTATGAGAAAAAATAAAAACAGATGAGAAAGATCAAAGATTCTAAACATTAAGATAAAAAGAAAATTTCTATGTAAGAAAGGATAAGAGTATATATAATATAGAATGATGTGAATTTTTCGTTTATTAAATAAAGTTTTTTTTGGTTTTTTTTTTCGGTTGACATCTTGTATCGAAGGTGTCAATCCTAAATCGAAAGGTATTATATAATAACATATATATATATTCAGATTTGTTTTTTTTTGTTTTTTTTTTTATCCAGATTTGCCAATTGTTCATTAAACCCAAATGAATTTTTGTTGAGCGAAAAATCGAAATGTCAAATGTTTTTTCCAGAAATTCGGAGAAAGAACTTGAAATGAAAAAAAAAAAAAAAGTTATGTACAAATGTTCAATTAATCTAATTACAAGTAGTTCTACCCAAAACCCGATGAAAATAATCTTCCGTAATTTAAAAAAGGCTAACAACGATATAGGTGCGACGATCATTCTTCACATGTTGACAGGCTTAAATTTTTTTGCTGCAGCGTTGGGAAGCGTAGCCTGAGCGCAAGGAGCACCACTGTCGGATCTGAGATGCCTGTTTAGGGCGTCCAGTCTGGCGAAGGCACGGCCGCAATGGCTACAAACGTGAGGCTTGAAGCCCAAGTGTAAGTTATAATGTCTCTTGCGATCGTGCTGCCTGGCGAAAGCCCTCGTACAACCTTGATATCCGCAGAGGAAAGGTCTTTCATCAGTGTGAGTGCGTAAATGAGACTTTAGATTGTATTGACGGGTAAAGGTTTTATGACAATCGGGATAATCGCAGGCGAATGGCGCAACGGTTTTAGATTTGCGGGCCGGTTTTGGTGGAGCCAAATTCATGGTGTGCAAACGCTCGATCATTCCACTAGGTAGGGATTTACGATGGGATCGATGTGAGATTGTTCTACCGCGTGGTAAATCCGATTTTTTAGTGATAACCGATTTCTTGTTGCACTGTTCCATGACATCCATTTGAGAGTTTGTGATGGCAAGAGTGGATGGAATGTCATTATTATTGTTATTATCACTATTACTAACGCTACTATTATCCGAATGAATGGATGATTGAATGGTAGGAAGTTGTGGAGAAGCATAAGGATAAATGGTATCCGCAATTGCCGAAGTTCTTGTTGTAGTGAGAGGAAAATTGAACATGGAACCTTGATGATCTGGGATTGAAGAAAAACACTGAGTAAAGGAGTCCAAAGTATTCTGGTCAAAAGTATTATCGTTTGAGTCCATTTGATCCATGACCACGGATGAGTCGTCAGAAGGTTGGGAAGGGATGGTCAGAACGTCGAGACCTTGATATGATTGAAAGGAGTCGAGGGGTAATTGCTGCTCCTCCTTATACATATTTAAGGAATCCAAATTTTGCTGATCGAACGGTTGTAGCAAATCTCCTTGGAAATATTCGGTTGTAAGGTCCGGAGAGGAGGCGCAAGAAGAATAGCCGTCAGAAGGGTCACTATCCGAGGCAGAAGTCGAGGAGTCTAAAGACTCGTAAAAACTATCGGGAGAACCGTAGTCCTGTTGGAAAGGGAAACTTAGATATTCGCAGCCTATTTCTGGAACAAATTGAGGAGGATAATTGCTTGGATCAGAGAAAAAGTCAATGTTATCTTTATGATTATAATCGGTGGAGGCAGCGGTAGGGGCGTAGAGATATTCTGAAGAGTGAAGAAATGAATTGTGATCCATTATAAAGGTTTTGGTTTTGCTTTGATCAGATCTGATGAATGAAGTCTTAAATGCTAATTACGAACTGAAACTTTTTTGATTTTGATATACAGTATATATATATATTTTTTTACTCCAAAAAAATTGTATGGGAGTGATATACGTAATTGTAAGGCAATTGATATAAGGGTAATTTGATGAATATATTCGGTAAAGTTAATGATGCAATCTTTCTTGATAAAAATAGAAAAAAGAAATTTTTTTTTTTTCAAATGTGTAAAATTGCCGAAAACCGGGCACGTGAAATATTAATGGTGTGCTAAAAATAAGTTAACAATTAGAACTTTAAATCTGCTTACTAGGGCAGAAACTAGAATGAGTCTTCGAGGAGAAAAAAAAAATTTTTTTTCGAAGAGAACTTGCAATTAGATATCAATAGAAATGTTCTAGATGTGTTCGAGATATTCGAACTGAATTGGATGGAAAAAAAAGGCGACCCTGCATTATTTATAGAAATTTGAAGGATGGACAAATTGGTCATGACCTGCATTTAGTTTACGAACACAAAAACAAACATCACATTTAAAGAATGATCGTACATGTATAATTAGTATATTGGTTCATGCTTTAAAATAGAGACACAGATTTATTTTTGGATATGAACATGAATTACAAACGTGCACACATATACGTAGATGAATACATCCAATTATAGAGATTATGTAAAGTATTATTATGTGTGTTCATGTGATCGAAGGTCGCTATTAATAGAAAGAATTTAATAGGAGTTGTTCTGTGTGCTCAACACTAGCATTTTTGGCTATTGAAACAAACGTGATTTTTTTTTTTTTTTTCAATATTCTAGAAAAAGAATAGAAGAGTAAAATTACAGCAAATTGCTTTACGCGAAGGACAACCGAAGATGAACAAAGAAAACTTAGTGTGATGCCGTGGAATTACCAATAAAAGTGCCAGGTACTAACAATCGTCCGCACAGGGGTTTACGTGAAACCTCCCAAAAAATTATTTAACTCGTTCACGTTTTTAAGGACGATAAAACAAGGAATTTTCAATTTTTCAAGTTTGAACATATATAAAATGACGTAATTTAATACAAACAGTTACCGGTCAAAATAAAGAATAAATAGTGATGTCACAGTACTACTTTGAGAGGATTAGTGTGCTACATTAAGCGATTAATGAAAAATAATTCACCGATCAGAATATTTAGAATCCTAAAAATAAAGTTTATCAGGGTTTTTGTTTTTCGTGTGTCACATAGATGTACGTATTAAAATTAATTGAACAAACGTGGATAAGTAATACATGACGATGGATTTTTTAACGTGCACAATTAAGAAGCTTAATTTTACTGTATGTACTGCACTGTACACCAACACTGTACTTGTTTGATCATCTTGTACCTTTAGTAAACAGATTATCGTTACCAGTCAGGATACCGTAGACAACAGAATGATGATAAAAATGCCGAACGTCTGGTATTGGACAGCGATATTATCCAGAACCCGGGGTTCCGAAAATTGAAATTCGGAGCATTATCCGTAAGCATGTTGGATTAAAGCTCAATTAATAAATCCTAATATCAACTTGGAATCGGTAGTAAAAGAAATAAAAAACGTGAATTGAAATACTTTATTAACGAGATTTTTCGTTGGTATCTGGTGACAAAGAATTTTTCCTCTAGAATCTGCTTCTGCTCCATTTCAATGCCACAATTACAAAATCTTTTTCACCATTCAATTATTTCTCGTTGGCCATTACATAACGGTGCGCACGTAACATGGTTATTTGATTTGTGATTGAGTTAACAGTGAATTTTGTTGTTCACTCAACATTACTGTATTTCCTCATATTTCATTGCGACAAGGTATGGCTGATTGAATAACAACTGATATCACTACGTACCAATAGCTGTTAGTTCGATGGTTGTCATCCTCTAAAATAATCAAATCTCTTTCGTGATATCTCTAATTCGCGAGAGATTAATCAAGGTACACAAAAATCTTCCTCGGTGTCTTTTATATACGAATGCGTTTCATCGTAATCAAGTAAAAATCTACTATTTGCGATAATTTTCTGTTCCGAATAATGAACAATCAAGTGCCACAATGTCCTTGACCATTCATTGGCGATTTTCCATGTATAATGATGTAATGCATATGATATCATACTTCTGTTACATCCATGACTTCATGATAAAAATTCACCAATCAGACTTTCCACTGGTATCTGCAAAGATCATTTCTATTTAGCGACTCGGTTCCTTTTAGTAGTAGACGCTTGGTAAGCTTGCCGGTAACTGACGATATAATTCTCCTACTCATGGTCGTGATAAAATTCACTTCTTCTACAAACACTATAGGAATTATAATGGAGATAATGGGTTATTCCGGTTCTTACATTGGATTTCATTGTTTCGAAACTGTTTATTTGTATGACAGTTTTTACTTAAACAAACTCTGATGATATCATGGAATTTTCGAAATGCATAACCGGAAGGTTTGTAACAATGGATGCATCTTTGTAAAATAGTGAAATAATAATGATGATGAGGACCAATTAAAAGTGAGTTGCATAAAAAAAAAATATTACGTATTGTTGTACGCACAAAAAAAAACGTGTTTCCATAAAGGTTGTCCAGTTACGTCACATTGCTAAAATTATCAAAACCTATTTTATTATTCGGTGATCCTGGTTGTAGTGCACAAAGGGACGTTTTCTTCAAGAAACCTTAAAAGATGATCTTGCTTGCATATCTGTATTAATCTACACATTAATACAATTATTTTATTAAGGTTCATGATGTGCATTTATTTATGAATGTCTCTTTTACTTACTATAAAGGCTCTGTAGTACCCTGACTGTGCGGGAAAAGCATCTTATTCGGGTCAAACTCATCAATTTTTACATGGAGTTAATTATCCAAAATTTTTTTAATATTCTCTATTCGATCTAACATAAACAAAAATGCAAGAGCTATAAACTTTTTTCTTATACGTATATACATACAAAATAATGAATTATTGAAATTTTGATTTTTATCGTTTCAACATACAGTATAAACTATTGCATAAGATTTAAAAATAACAATTACCAATATTTCCAATTTATTGTAATTTAAAAAAAAGAAAAGGATCATAAAATCCATTTCTTAAATTACGGTATATTATATCATTACCATTACATTGATTAATAAAAATATGTGTTGAAACTTTATTGTTTGATTCAATTAATGTCACTTGATATTTTAATATGATATATTATAAGAATCTGTTAATAATTCGACTATTGTTATACAATATTTGACAAAAAAATTCATAAAAATTCAGTATAACAATAATTAACAATTGATTTTTTTTATTATTATAATTTAATATAATAATAATTTGACAAAATCATAATAACAATAATAAATTATTAAATTATTACAACATTTGTTATAAAATTATTAACACTTTTTTTTTTTAACTCAACTAGTTGGACTATACCTTATGTCTTTTTTATTTAATTCATGTATGTTTACATCATATATTACAGAAAATTATTATCTATAAATTATTTTAGATAATTGCTTGACTATATTGAATTTTATTTCCATATTGACTTGTTACTATTGACTATAGA